GATTTCAGGCGGGTGCTTATAATATTCAGAAGTTGTATTTATCTAGCAGTTCTAGATGGGGCCATTCTAATCTGGGCCTTATTCTCAGTCTGATTTAAAGGGAAATGACTCATTTGTTAACTTTTTAAGCACATTTAAGTGGTTCACTGAGAAATAAATACAGTAGTTTTGTTTGGAACAGAATTTGCCAGTTAAAAGGTAGACATTTCTATTCCTCCAGGTTACTGAATAATGGAAATTCATGAGTGCACAGTGAAAAGATACTAGGCACACAGGTGACTTTTCAAATGTTGATGGACTACATCTTCCATCCTCCCTCACCATTTACTATGCTGGCTATGGTTAATAGGAATTGGAATCCAAGAGCATCTGGATGACCACATGTTGCTCATATTTAGTTTCATACCAATAACTCTAGGTGCATTCTGTATACCACATGTTGCTCATATTTAGTTTCATACGGTGCATTCTGTACGTGTCCCCAGAACATGTCAGTCATGACAAGGCTTTGAAGTGACAATATTTATTAACCTCAGGATATGAACGTGTTCCAATTTGAACTCTTGAATGTTCTTAACAGTGGCCAGCAGCATTAGCTCTAAGGAAACTATATGTATTTTTATGACTTTGTTTCTTGAAAGCCACAGTGCTTATGGGAAGGAACAAAAACAACAAAACCTGAGATAGAGCTTGTGACATTGATAGCCGGCACTTGTTGCTATAAAAAACTCAAAGTTACTCAGAGATTAGCATGCTATAGGAGCCCAGCTAGACCCATGAGGTGGTATGTATAGCCCAAGACAGCAGATTGGTAGTAGTCAGCATTAGGGTTTTGAAGGCAGAGAGCATAGAAGGCAGAAGCCAAATACCCTGCAACCAAAACGTTAGAGAGTATAAACATAGTTACAACAAGGATTAGTCTCACATGAGCATGGTGATCTCACAATGAAAGAACTAACATGAAGGCCTTGTATTATCACATCATCTGCAAGTAACTAAGGATCCAGATACTACCACTGTTAGAAGAGGTACACATTTTGCTGTGAATTCTGTGGAAGGGTTGATGTCATTTCTAGACGTATTAAGGAAGAACACACACATCTCCTGTGGCTGCTGCCTTACTTATGGTGACTAGGTTTCTGGAAAAAAACCTGCTAAATTTTCATTCATGCAGAACATCTGAACACAAGATATTTTGGTGAGGAGCTCTGAAATCCTATGAGATTATTTATCTCAAGTGCAAGACTGGGACTATAAGGCTTTTTTATCTCTTGAAGTTTCTGCAATAGATTAAAAATAGGACTTGCAAGTGTGAATATTCCTGTTGACTCCAACAGAGAAAAATCTCAGTGTTTTGCAGCTGAGGAGAAAAATGTTGTAGTTTAACAAGGATTTGTATCCTGTATAGCACTTCCAAGGCTTGCCACCTTGACAAGGCCATAGGAGTTAGCCTGCACAGGTGTTATCCTACCATTTTGATTCCTACCATTGGGTCTTTATTCGTAAGTAGAGATAGTCATGAATTAAGTCATGTCTCTTCATACAAAGGTCTCCACACAGCACCACAGGTGCCATATGTTCCCTCCCACCACTTCGCAGATGGCTGTCCCACTCATAAGCCTCCATGTGCTGCCGACCACTCAGATGAGGAGGTGGGATTCTCCCTGCACAGCTGTTGGATGGTCAGCTGCTCACTCAGATGAGGAGGTGGAACAGGGATTCTCCCTGCACAGCTGTTGGGTGGTCAGCTGCCAGACGAGGTGGGGAAGGGAAGCCCAAGCTCCTTTCCAGACTGGGCAGCCAGCAACGGAGGACGACCTGGGTAGCTTGTGAGTGGGACAGCCATCCAGCAGGTGGGGAGAGGGAACACATGCCATGTCTCCACATGAAGAGGTATGACTTCCTTCATGCCCTTCTCTATTTGTAAGCTCTTACAGAACACTCTGAAGACCTGTGCACTGAATACACTCTGCCTTACTTCTAGGCATGGTGGAAGCTCCATGTGCCCACCCCTCTCCAATTTTAAGCTAATGTCTGATCGGGACTACAGGGCATGCTGTGTGTGCATTGTCCTTTACAGAAGATAAGAGGGCCAGTTCCCTGCCCCATGGAGCTTACAGTCTAAAATTAGATACAGAGAAAACAACATAAAAGGGATTAGAAACAGAGCAGATATAAGCTAGGAAGCAATAAATAATGGCATGCATGTAGGCCTAATTCTGTTAGGTTGTTAACTTTTCTGAAAATCAACATTTGGCAGCACTAATTGATATGGTAGTAGGTTGTTAACTTTTCTGAAAATCAACATGGTGGCAGTTACATTTGGCAGCACTAATTGATATGGTGACACAAAAGGACAGCACACATCTGTGGATTTAGAATGTTACTGAAAGAATACTCATTTCAAAACAGACTTTCTCTCCTTTTTATAACCAATGCCTATGTTTTATTACCTGAAAGGAAAGTTCTTTGCTGGATGTTTGATGTTCAAAATGTTTTCATAAATGTTACTTAATTAGACAACATTTGCAACGGCACATTTGCTTGTGACACACTTGCTGTTAGTTAATTAGAAAATGTTTCTCCTCATACATTTGCTGCATTTCACACATATCATTACCTTTATAAGGTGTCTGCTTGATCCTCAGAGTTCTGTGCAACAGTAATAAGTCTTGGCATTGAGCCAAAAGTATCTCAACCAATCACACATCAGTTTTTGCTGATACATTGGGGGGACGGGGGGGGGTGAAAGAGAAAGAGGCTGTGAAATTAAAGAAAAACTCCCAAGTTTTGTGAACAAGCTGGTTGCTAACTGGTTGACCTTAAACAAGGCCATTCCTGGGATATTTTGCAATAAGATTAAAGAGAGCAGTTTTTCCACAAGTTTGCCTGTGTTTCTCTGACACCACGACAAGTACCACTCCATTAATCATAAGTACATTATAAATGTATGATTTTGAGTTACAACTCACAAAATTCACCAGAAGTGAAGTTACAGGAAAATTAGAGTATTAAAGGACACATCTCTTTCCATTTGAAACTGAGATTTTTCTATCAAATTTGTAATTTCTGGTTCTTCTTGTTGTATTCTTTTTTATATATAAAATTGATTTTACCAAATGCATATCTGAATGCATAAAATAAAGCATGCTCCTTTGATATCCAGAGCTTCTAGGAGATTTAAATAAAACCTTACATGTGCAGTGCGAAACAACTTGACAACACAAATTTATTATTTCAGTGAATGTGTGTTCATTTTTAAGGTCCACTGTCGCATATTTTTGTAATGCTTTTTCAAGCCGTGTGATGCACTGGAGTTCCATCTTTTCTGCATTGCTTTCTTTTTTTAAAAAAAATAAAAAATTAAAGAACACATGCAATTCATGATATTTATAAATCAGTTTATTCATCTCCGCCAGTTGAATTCACACCTCCCTTTCTTACCTCAAATGTTCTGGTTCGTAAAAATACATATATCCTCCATTACAAAGCCCACAGAAACATATGTCATGAAATGGGCAAGCAAGCTGCCTTTCTCCACAACTTTAACAAAAGAGATCTGGAGTCTCCGGGACCTTTGAAGCCTCGTTCCATAAGGATTAGAGTTCCCCTGCTGTTTGGAAAAGATAATTTCACTTGTAACCCTAATAACCTGAGCATGGCAAAGGCTGGCTCAGGGAACAGCATGCACTTCACTGCACATCTTGGCTCAGTTAGAAATCGGAAACAGATGGTCCTTGCGGCTGGCTTCCCACTCGGGTCCACTCAGTGCCAGCCCACGGTCGCTGGCTGGTTGCTGCTGGCACTGTGTGACTTGAACATAGTAGGACAGTGGCAAAAGAAATCAAATCTTTTTCATTGAGCAGCACACTCTAATGCGGTTTGACAGGCCTGACATTCTATCCCCAACATCCAGTTAGAATATATTAACCTTTTCGTTTTCTTAAGCGCCTCTCTTGTCCGAGTTACGAAGCCACACTTATGAAGAGTTTTGCAGGCGAGGAAGGGCTTTGCAAAAGCCCTTCTGTGGCAAAAGACAATCCCTGCAAGGGCTTCCCCTGAACTTGTAAAAAAAACAAGAACAGGAAATATTGTGGTCAGGGAAACAAGATGTTGCATTTGGATTAACTCCTGGTCTAATGCTGGCCAAAGCTATGTTGGCAGTGTCACTATCTATGCAAGTATTTCAACTTAATAGGAAAACTGAGCAGTAAGGGGTAACAAAGGCAGTCCTATGCATGTCTGCTCAGAAGGAAGGCCTACTATGTTTAGTCAGCCCCACAGCCAAGTGAGCATATATAGGATTGCACCACTGATATCTTTCAACAACCGAGGGGAGGGGGGAATCTCCATTACATACAGAGTTTTTTGTTTTGTTTTGACTGACTAAGGGCATGTTCGTCGCCTGGCTTTCAAACAGAACTTTGCTTGCTCTTATTGGCGAGTTGCCTCAGCTTGGCTGGCCTTTCTGGAACCAATCCTTGGCCTATGATGAAGCCTTGATCCCATGCCCAGTTCATGCACTCTCAGAGTGGCAGAGTTGTTTCTTCCCTGTAGCTGGATCCCATGCCATTTCTGTAGTATCCAAAGGATGGAATCACATACAGGAGCCACCCCCATCAGCACACCAGGAATGGGTGTGGGGCTAAATTTTAAGTCATATCTACATAACTCATCTACTTGATTCTGACCCATCACATGAAATACAACCTCAAGGAAGTAACCGCTTCTGTTTGGTAGTATAGGATTGTCTGCGGCATTGTCTGTGCCAGTAAAAGCCTGCTCATGAGAAGACCTCTGCTTCCTCTTGGCAAGAAAGCATTACGAGCAAACATGGTGTCATAAGTTCCTCTGTGCAGACATGCATCTTCCACACCCAATATGTGATTGCTTTATGGACAGCTGAAACGGACAAATTTGATTCCACTCACTTTCCCATTTTCCAACATTAATTTTTTTTCCTGTGGCATTTCCACATCGGTATACAAATTATTATTTTTTAAAAAATCCATCCCACAATGCATGCACTTTTGTACACATTTTTCCACATGTTAATTTTTGCATGCAGTTTTCCCTAAAGTAGGGATATGCTCTGGTGTGATGAAATGCTCTTGAAGCATGTATTCTGGAGACAATAAGTACTGAGAATATAGTATGTGGACAGATGCAGTTTCTCCTGCTACCTGAGGCAGGAAGCAAAGCCTTCTCTCACAGATCATGCAAGGGCCAATTCTGCTCTTCCTGTATTTGCAAAGACCAACCACTCCCCATTGTTGGCATGCCAGGCAACACAATCAGACATTTGTCTTCCTGCACCACACTAGAGAGCGAGGTGCCTGTCTCTCATCCCAGACAAACAAGGTAGTAGCTGTGACATCTCTTCATGCTCTTCTTCCATGGGATAAGGAAGGGAAAGATCGGGGAAGGTAAGGGAATGCAAAGCTGGTACATGTTGGGAAGTAAGCGTGCAGCTATACAGAAGCAATATTCATTTGTGTGCTTCAGTTCTCTGTAAATTTGAATAATTACCTGAATATACTTCCTGTTTCTAAAGGAATCGCACCCATACTTCTTGCTAAAGAAACACAAAATAATGGATTTATTTGAGAAATACAATAGGGGTAGTAGGAAAGGTAATGGAAGTTCCATTTCACGATGTCAGGAGCAATGGCTGCCTCCTTCTCCCTAAAGAACAGTGGTAAGATGCTTCCTTGGAGGGACAAGACAGGGAGATGTGAGATGGAAGGAAGTGACACCAGCAGTCCTAAGAATAGTAATCTAAGGAGGAAAGAAGGTTAGCACAGGTCAGAGCAGGTAAAAGACAGTCAACCTGAGGAGGTATCCCTCTCCACTTCCTCGTGCAAAGGTATGCATCTTCTTGAGTGTAAGCCGAGTGGTACAACAGTGATGGCTGTTTTACTGGCAAGGACACCATGGATGCATCTGCTACTCTTATGTGTGGCTGCTTAAGGTGATCACCTCACCAGGCCTTATCCCTGGACAGGTGCTATTTCTAACTGTGCAAAAGAGAGACTTATAGCAATCATGGTTTCTCTATCCATTGTCTCCCGCTAGATAAATAAAATAAGATGTGCCATCCAGTCAAGTGCAAATCGTGTTGAATTTCTTCAGGGTTTTCCAGGTAGAGAATACTCAGAGGTGGTTTACCATTCCGTTCTTCTGGGACCATGTAGCTTGCTCAAGACCACACAGGCAAGCTATCTTTCTGAGACATACATTTGAACTCCTGACCTGGCATCCAACTCAGAGAACTATCAAGCCAGCCTTTATTAAAAAGTACCACATTTACTTTCTTCCCATTCCTTTGTTTTTCACTCATTTTCTCATCCTCTGATCACCATGGTTTATTTTTTTTTTTTTACTGGCCAGCTCTATAATAGGGACATATTCTCACAGTTTTGGGCGCTCTCGACTCTAGAGGGCAACTCCTCAACAATTTCCCAGGCACTGTGAGAATCTTTGCCTCCATGGTAAGAGTGAAACAAAGAGATGTTTTTGGTTTTTTCCCCCATCAGGATTTCTTCAGATTCTGCACAATGTCACTGGGTGAGTCTGCCTAAATCTAGCATCCTTTCACCTTAACAAGCAAATCACAATGTCACTGGGTGAGTCTGCCTAAATGTAGCATCCTTTCCCCTTAACAAGCAGATCACACACTCACACACTGAGAGAGAATGTTCACAGGACTGACATATTGTGTGTGTTTTTTTTTTAAAGCACACACTCACACAGAGAGAGAGAGAGAGAACGTTCACAGGACTGGCATATTGAGTTTTTTTTTAAAAAAATGGGAACAACCCACCCAATGCTTCCCATCCTTAAATGCCGACTATACAAGGCAGCAATTGCAGTTTTTAATAATTTCCACAAATCAGGGAACATAATTTGTGCAAGATGTGCAATTTGCACAAGTTGGGCAGTTTGTACAAATGCAACTGCCAATTTGATAGCACAAGAAAATACATTGCCTTCTTCCAGGATAAAGAGGGGGAAAATGCAATTCTCCATTTTCACCTGCAAGAAGAATAGAAAAAAAGGTTTGATATCCCTACTCTGCAGACCCACTGTAGAACATGTGTCAGTAATGTGCCAATCCTTATAGACCCATCAGTTTAGAAAGTAGCAACAAAGTAGATAAAGTAGGCAGGTATGCGCTAGTCATTAATGTTCAGTGTAATGCTCATTGCAAGCAAACTGTAAAATTTCATTCTTTCATAGAAGTCCTACATGGCAATAGCTATAAGACAGGCAGGAATTCAACTGAGGAAGATTTGCCCATCATTGTATTAACATGCTACATGGTGTACACCTGTTGAATATGACAGGCAGGAATTCAACTGAGGAAGATTTGCCCATCATTGTATTAACATGCTACATGGTGTACACCTGTATGACAGCTGTCATACATGTTGGCCTGCTTGCATTCAAGCTTCTCAGGAAATTGTTAAAGCAACATAACTCCAGCTTAGGGCAATCTGAAGCTACATACATTTCAGGCTTGAATTTCATTTAGTTACACCTCAGTGCAACATGTATTGAGGGTTTGATTCAGCTACTGCACACCATGCAGTTGATTTAATACATGTATTCAAAGGGATGAAAGGAGACCTACTCACATTCTGACTGGAAAAAAAAAGACTGGGCCCTAAGGCATTAGAAGTAGCACTTTGCTTGTAATTGAGTTGGCTGTCATTTAGGTTTTTGGGTTACTTAAAGCCCTTCTTAAACACCATTATAATCAAGTGGTTGTTAGAGGTAATCACACATGTGATTGAGACCATACTGACATAAGGAAGAGGGAAAAGAGCATGAACTAAAATGCTAAAGAACTAATTATTTAATTCTGGAGCTGAAGGTGACCTTAAATGTACTTTTATACTGAAGTCCAGGCTACTGTAGCAGTGGAAGCGATGCTTGGCTCTCCTATACGCAGGCTGCTCCATAAAGCATTTTAAACATCAATGTATGTAGCATTTAAAAAATTTACAGTTGTAGTAGAGTGCCCCTTCCACTTCTGACATCATTTCTGTGCCTTAAATGCAACTTAACACAGAGATATTAAGTGGGTTGATATTTTCTTATCATTTTAGGTTGCAGAGTGTGGGTAGGAGGTACATCTTAGAGTTCTGCAAAAAAAAATGAGGTAAATGCATTATTTGTCATGTAATTGTTACTAGGAAGTGAGTTTTCTGGGATTATCATTATCTTTTATAGTGTTGCCCTTGCTATGTGCCATCAAGTCTATGGATGAGAAATCTCCAGCAGGCCCTGTCCTCAACAGCCCTGCTCAACTCTTGCAAAATCAAGCCTGTGGTTTCTTTCAGGGAATCGATCCATTTGGCATTTGGTCTTCCTTTTTTTCCCCTTGTTGTCCTCAACCTTTCCCAGCATAATTGTCTTTTCCAGAGAATCTTGTCTTCTTGTGATCTTCCCAGCCTTGGTTTCATCATTTTTGCCTCCAGAGCCCCATTAAAAATAAAAATACTGTAAAAATAAAAATCCATCTTTCATTTTTATCTCCTGTAACTTTACCAAAACAAAAACAAAACCCCACCCTATATGTCTTTATCTTGGCTATGTGGCCATGAGGAGTCTTTGTAAGAGTTGACGTACTGTACCCCACACCTGGGATGGCTAACATGTGGCTATCTCGATGTCATTGGATTTCACCTTGGGGCAGCATGATCAATTGAGAACATGATGGGAGTTGGACTTCAACATCTCAAAAGCCACAGTTTCCCCATCCCTTCTCTATCGTTGCTGTGATTTAACCTCCCACATCTGGAATCAGAAAGGTTGAAAAGGTTATTTTTAAGTGGAAAGGTTTTTAAAAAGGTCATTTTATTACAGGATGTAACAACTTGTGGCCCTCCAGATGTTGTTGGAGTATAACTACCATCTTCCCTCATCACTAGCTATGCTGGCTAAGGCTGAAAGAAAGTACAGCCCAACCACATCTGGAAGGCCATCATCTGTCTGTTGTTATGTGCCATCAAGTCAGAACTGAATTATAATGACCCTAATGGGGTTTTCATGATAAGCGAGATACTTAAGGAGTGGTTGTACCAGTTTGACACACCTAGTGAATTTTCATGGCTGAGATGAGATTTGAATGCAGGCCTCCTGAGTCTGTCACTCTGTCCCCAACACCACAGTGAGTATCCCATCATCTGTCTGTTTGTCTAATACCTAAGCAAAGATGATGGGCGGGGGGGTTCTTTCTACTATAGCTGTGTGGTAGAAAAAGCTTGCTTGATCATAGTTTGCCATGCAAATGGCACCATGCATCTTTCCTGTTGTGTATTATAAAGATACCATTACCTATTTTTACAGGCTCTGCTTCCATAACTTCACATGGAGGGGGAGAACAGGTCCTCCAGACATCCTTAGTAAACATGAATGCACATTGTACTTCATGTGTCTGAAGAAAGAGATTGTAATCTGTGGAAGTTCAAACTGAAATCAATTGTTAGTCTTTAAAGTGCTGTGAATTCTTTGGTACTGTTAATGTACATGGAATAGATATTCAAGCTCCCTAACAGAAATGTGTGCAAGTTTTTCTACTAACTGGGTACCAGCGTACTGTTAAATGCAGGGACAAAATAAAACTTATAAGGTGTGCAAGTATCCTCTGCAAGTACAAAATTTCAGTTTTCCTTGCCTTTTTCTGAGCTTATTTTGTTTAAGGTTCTGCTTTGCCTCATGCTTTGGCAGCCCTTCTTTGGACACAGATATTTTCCCAAGTTTATAAATCCATATGACATTCTGCACTATTTACAGTGGTGTTTTGTCTAAGGAGACTTGGAGAAGCTATTTCTGCTCAGGAGCACTTCCCAGCCAAGTACAGTAGGTGGCAGCACCTAAGCTGTGGTGGGTGCCATACTGTGGGAGAAAGCAACAAAGGGCATTCCTGTCATTAGGACTAAGGTTCGTACCTGAAGTGGACATGAGCCAATTAAAGTGAATGTAAGTGAGCAGGAACTAATGGAACGGGGAAACTAGGAAGTAGAAACTGATAGACAACCGAAGGCTAAGAAAGCATGAAAGGCATTTGTAATGTACAGGGCTTTTCCAGTCCACCCTAGAGAAACTGTTGCTATGTTTCTGCTTTAACTGGAAACAAATCACCTCCCCAAAATTGCTTTTGATGGTAAGAAAGATGGGTGCACAACATGGGAAACACTGAAACTGGAAACAAATCACCTCCCCAAAATTGCTAAGAAAGACAGGTGCACAACATGGGAAACACTGAATGAGCATGCAGTCAAAACCCTATTCATTCATTTTTCAACAGAGTAAGTGTTCTCCACACACGAGAACACTTTTTCAATAGAGCAAGTCAAGTATTCTCCCCTCCCTCAGCACTTTCAACACATAAGGGTAAAAGAAAAAAAAAGGAGAGATTGGTGTAGGCTCTCTGTGTGAGCCAGAACAAGAAGAACCAGGGTTCTGGCTCACACTGAGGGGACCAGTGGATGGAGGGGTGATGGAGGAGACCAGGCTTGTGTGCTCCCTTCCTCACACACATGAAGAATATTTGCTGTAAAAAGTAGGTTCTGAGTTTTGTTTTGTTGTTTTTTAAATGACAATTCTGGACTAAATGGCCAAATGGACGCAACCTCAGTTTAAACTATCCTGTTATTCTCTGTTTTTGTTCTGTTGCCTTCTGGAAAACTGCATTCTTGAGAAGTCTGGTTCAGATAACAAGTCAAGTTCACAGCAGTCCATTATTGGTGGCCTGTAATCCAAAGCAGGGGAGGCATCTCAACTGAACTTCCAGTTTTGAGGTGGGATGCTCTCTTTGCAACGTTTGCAATCTACCTGTGACAGTCATTGCTTTAGTGTATTCATTTCATTGTAAAAATGCAAAGTATGAAGGCATATGAGCTTATAAAGAAAGAGCCTGGTTGCTGTCTTTCTGCAACAAATTTATATCTGAAAAAAAGTATATTTTTCTACAAATATGCCTCCCCCTGAAAACCACTTCTAAAGGACAATTTGTAGAACATGTTGTACAGTATTGAGAGTGGGGTGGCAGATTTGAATGAGTCCCATATCCATAACCAAAGCCAGGTGCTTTGGAGAGAAGTCTGAGACGAAATGCTGCTTGGACAGCTCAGTGGCTTAGGTATCTAAGTGCAGAGCCAGAGGTTGAGAGTTCAATTCCCCACTGTACTTCCAGAGAGGAAAAGCAGCCAGTGTAGTCATGGGCAAGTTACATAGTCCCAGGACCAGAGGTTGAGAGTTCAATTCCCCGCTGTACTTCCAGAGAGGAAAAACAGCCAGTGTAGTCATGGGCAAGTTACACAGTCCCAGGACACCCCAGAAGAAGGGAATGGTAAACCACTTCTGTATAGTCTCTACCCAGAAAACACTGGAAGGGGTTGCCATAAGTCAGATTTGACTTGAGGGTGTGCGCGTGTGTGCTCTCTCTCTTTCTCTCTCTCTCTCTCTCTCTCTCACACACACACACACACACACACAGAGAGAGAGAGAGAGAGAGAGAGAGATTCAAAATAGGAATTACTGGGAGTGGACCAAACCTCTTCAAAGCCTTGTTATAGGCTATATTTATTGTATAGTTTGACCATCAATAAACCAATATGACTAGAGTTCAGTGTGAGCATTACTCTTTTCTACTCAGGTCCAATTCCTTCTTTTATGCTCCTTTTGCAAGCTTCAACATTTAACAAAAACCATTTCCTAAGTCCCCAGCTCCACCCATTCGTGCTGGTTTAAAGCCAGGGAAAACCTTATAGTTTGGGGTTGGATCTAGCTTTTTATTAAACCCTAACTTCTACCGAGAGGCAGTGGAAGACAGGAGGGCCTGGCGTGCTCTGGTCCATGGGGTCATGAAGAGTCAAACACGACTTAACAACTAAACAACAACAACTTCTACCAGACAGAAGCAAGCACAGAATAATATTTGGGGGTGGAACCAGAAGCAAAATGGCTTTTCAGGACATGAAACTAATGGCGACTGCACTTCATATCTCATGTACTGGTATGAACAGTGAATACCAATACAAATCTACTTCACATTTACCACAATTCAAGAATTAGGGGTGGGGAAGATAGCAAGAAAAGTATCTCCTAGGGCCAACTGAAGAGGTTTGTTACAGGGAGTGTGGCAGAAAAGAACTGAGCCATCTTGAAGTCAAAGGCCCAAGGCCGCCTTTGATGAGATCTCAGGCTGGGAAATGTCATTGCAACATCTTGTAGATCTTTGTCTCTGGCAGGGTCATATGTAAGTCAAGGGTGCCATTTTGCTCTTGACTCCTCCTAGGTGGCAGACACCACTGTTTTCTTTTTGCATTTGAAACCTGAAAAGCCTGGCTGGCATACAGCAAATATTCAAAGATCTACCACTAGATCATTGTCTAGCCTTCTGCTTACCCTCCTCCTTTCAGGTTCCACATCTTCCATAAGTTTAAAAGTCATAAGGGTGTGTGTTCTCTTGGTCCAAGACTACCATGCTGGCTGGGGATTCTGAGTTGTAGTCCCATAAAAGTAACTTTTCCAAGCTCTGCTACAAGAAAAACAGAATCATCTGAGAATTGTTTACCAATACTTTAGCAACACTGTGTGAAAGAGTAAAATTAGGAACTGTACACTATACTGTATGTTTCCTTGATGTGCATTTGCCAGCATTGACAGTAGAGATCACACATCTATTCCCCATTCCAAGATTTCTAGAAACTGAAGGAGAGACCCAATTCCCAAAAAACACTGGAAGGAATCCACCCTAAAAACACAACAAGGTACTCACAAAAAGCCAAAATAAGGACTATCATAGAGACTGATGGCAGATAATCCACAATGTCTAATCAGTAAATAATTAATGGGAGGAATGGCAAATACTGTATATGCTTCCTCCATGGTCAGATATTGGGTGCTCACAAATAGGAGTGCTGAGTGAGATCTGACACCCTTGTGTTGTGCTCATGGGCTGCTCAAGAGAAATCTGGTTGGACATTGTGAGAAACAAGATACTAGATTAGACAAACAATTTATCTGTTTCTTATGGGGCTATTTTTGTTTCTGTGATATCTAAAGAGGATCGGTTTGTGGAGAACACAGGGGCACCTCACTCCAAAATAGGGCACCCTCTGAACACACAAGCACACACAAGCACATACACACTTTGGTTGGACATTGTGAGAAACAAGATACTAGATAAGACAATTTATCTGTTTCTTATGGGGCTATTTTTGTTTCTGTGATATCTAAAGAGGATCGGTTTGTGGAGAACACAGGGGCACCTCACTCCAAAATAGGGCACCCTCTGAACACACAAGCACACACAAGCACATACACACTTTGGTCAGAGGACTATATATTTTTGTTATTATTAAACTAATTAACACTGACATCCAATGTAAGGACCATTTCCCAGTGCCAGCTTTGTATTTCCCTTAATGTGTATAGAACACTGCTATGCCACTGATGCTGCTACACACTTAATTTTACAGCAGAGATGCGCCTAACAATGAAATCCTATACATGTCTACTCATCAGGAGTAAACCTCATGGGGTTCAATGGGAGGTGATCCCGGGTAAGTGTATATAGTGTTACAGCTGAAGTTTGGTTTCGAACATGTAACTGGTGCACTCTTTGGCCATATGGTTTATAATCTAAAAAGGTCCACAGGATATAGTTTGATGGGAGAGTAATAGCAATAGGGCAGGAAAAGTCCTTTTACAGCAGCGTAAGAAAGAAAATGTAGTTCACCTATATGATTTTGTGTGCTTTACAGAGTGTGTCTCTGATTCATTCCATTTTGGTGAAGCAAACACCACATACTGAACACCTTATGTCCTCTACAGGAAATAGTCCAAACATCTACATAAAAATCTCCATTGCCAATGCATGCTAATTTTCATCCAGCATCTGTTTGAATAAACATGCATGGCATAACCATCATAGGTGTATAACTGCATGTTAATCAGAAGAAAAAGAGGAATCCAGAAAACCCTGGCTATACAGGGATGTCTTATTAACAACGTAGCATGTTGTTTGGGGGTCACGGACTGTAAATTACAACATTCCAAACCTGAGCACTTTGCCTTGTTTTAAACAAAAAGAAACTGACGTAGTGCATCTTTGGTGGTTTATTAAGTTTATAGTGGTATTATTTTGCATGGATGCCATTCGCATGTCATATTTGGCAGAAGAGTGATTGACAAGTCTTAAATCTAAAACATGTAGTGAGCTTCTAGAGTGTGGGACTTATTATTTCCTTTTTTCTCCTTCTCTGTGATTGAAGGAAAACTGTTTAGATGTTTGTTTCCAAAACGGCATCTGTCAGCAATCAAAGGGGGAAATATGGCACAAAACAAATGCAATTGTTTAGAGTAGCATTTCCTGAATCATGTTAAATGCTTGATTTGCTCCCCATTATGTTCACTAAATAATTTTGTTCTCCACAATAATTGTAATATTTAACATGTTGCATTTAATCTTTTTTCAAGGCTATTAGTAACAGCTCACTTAGAAAAAGAGTAGTTGGTTGGAAAACAACAACAACAACCCCACACCGCTGCCACCCACATCATAAAGAAAAATGGTAAAGTGAACTACACCCTAATTATTCTGGATCGAAAACACCGTTATTTAACAGCATTGATTCTTTACTTTACATCGGACTACTGTGCTGTCTAAAATAAAGTGATTTCATGCTCCTTCTACTGGTAAGCTGAAATCTATATTCTTACGAAGAAATGAGCCATGAGTATTCGGTATGTTTTTTCAGGCCCAATTGTGTTGATCTTGGATCCAAAAGACCCACAAGCTTTCAGCACAATATGCAAAGAAATACCAAACAAAGTTATTGTTCTGTTTAGAAGCGTTTAAGACCTTGATAGATATATTCAGGAATGGGACAGATCTGATCCTTTATCTATGTAGTAAGACATAGAAACAATGTGGGTGGAATGCTACTCCATTAATAATCACAAGTGCTGGCTGGTTGTTTCCTGTGAAAAATACAGGAGGGAAGGGGGGGTGGAATTTAATCTGATATTGATTGGAGGCTAATTATTGTTTAATCACTTTTACTTTTTGTACAATGATGTCTAAGATCAACGAGAAGCCTGTAGAAGTAGCAACAGCACTTTTAATACAGAACTACAATGAACTCATTTTTGACTTGGAACATCCACTCCTGTCATTGTCTTCCAGTATTCCGAGCGCAATTTCAATACTTCTTGAATTAGCTGGAGTTAATCTTCTGAATGAAGTTAATGCTAAACATGCAAGCACCTGCAGCATAGACCTATAGATCTGCTGATTTTATAATATATGGACAGAGAGACAAACAGACATATTATACACAGACATAGGCATACATGCAATTGCCTCATAGTGAAAGAAATTTAAAAGCCTCATGTATAATTTTATTCTGTCCATAGGTGTTTATTGACAGTATATCAGAAAATATAAGGTTATAGCTGGCACATGCTTTTTAAGAGTAAGATATAACAAAATTCCTCAGTATGGTCAAAGCTGGTAAAAATGAGTTTCAACCATAACAAAACACTCTGATGGGAAGAAAGAAATATATTTTGAGAAACCTAACATGTCAAATTATTTTTTAGTGAAAAATATCGGATTGTGTTTTTATATGTGAATTACAGATCTGCGGTCACGGAATACAATTTTTAGAAGACTGATGGGTAAATTTGTATTATTGTAGAAAACATTTGTATGCTACTTCAGAATATCATGGTGGAGGTATATCTTTCCTTTCTGACAAGTGGAATGAATTGGAACCACTGATTTGCCTGAAATAAATTGCTCCTGCCTTAAATAAGCCTACAAAAACAGTACAGTCACTGTTTTTGTTGACTCAGGCATTCATTCACTTGTTGCTGGAGAAAATTCTTCATTAAATCACAAGTTTTGGAATTTGCACATCTATGCCTATTCTACATGAGTATGACTACAGGTCAGAATACTTTAGATTAGCCCATACATGTGCTAGTCTCACAACAACACAATTCATTAACAGACAGTAGCTCCTATTGCAGTGAGTGGGACTGCCTTACAAGTAATCATGAATTGGCTGCTACTTTGTTGGCCAAAGTCAGAGAATGCAAGATACAGGGTTGACTTTTTCTTTTACATTCCAGACATACCATAGAAAGTGTCACTTGATGCAGAACAATGCAGTCTTGTCCTTTTACCTTTTCTTCAGAGTTATTCTATGACTTTTGCCAAACCTGCTGCAAATATGAGGGAGAAATATCTGTTGACTGCAACAGACATGACCAAATAAAAATATGAAATACAGTATGATCTCCTTTATTGGAATGGCTGGGGAAAAATAAGTGGCTGTTTGTACATGTTAGGTCAATAGTGGGCAATTTTTATGTGGCATAGTCTGAGGTGCAAATATTTGAAGGCACCTGGTGAATTTGGACAATGGCGTATTAGAAGTGAAGACACAGCAAATAGATTTTTTCTAGATTGTATTAAAAACGATACAGAAAATTCAAACAGAATTTTCTGAGTAGCTGTTTGTAGGCTGAGAGAGGATTTTGAAAATTCTATGCTATTAAGAAGGAGTGGTGATCGTAATCAGAAGATCAACAGAATGGAATCAAGTCTTAGATTGCATTTTCCCCCCACAAAAGCATTTTTCATTTTCTGAAACATAAAAGTCTTCAAATCAGAAGCCTTAAGCTATTTAGATGTGCATTTTGTTTTTATTTCCTAAAACGATTACATATAAAGTCATACAGATGTATGCGTATATGTAAAACTCATATACGCGCGCATGCACACACAAACATATAAATGATACAAAAAATATATTTTAAATTGAAACCTTCATTCTAGTGTGTATGTGTTTTCCTGGTCACGTCCATGGGAAAAGTAGCTGTGATAAACAGATACTGAATCCAAATGGAAATTCTTTTTGGGGGGGGAGAAAAAAAACCCCAAACATTGCATGATAGTCTCTAAGCAGTTCCATCTGTCAAGCAGAAATTTTAGGCTAATAGCCTGTGGCAATCTCTCTCTGCAGTCCACTACCTGCCTTTGTCCTATTAACTCTCTATCCGTTTTTTTTTTAAGCTGGGTGGGGGTGGAGGGAGAGAAAGGAAAGGGGGAAAATCTTGCAGACCAAAATCATCTGAGTGATGAAACCCTAATTTTATCCTCCTCTCTTTGATGTTAAGCGGTGGCTTCTTACTTTAAAGAGGGGGGTGGGGAGAGAGGGAGAGAGAGAGAGAAGAAGAAGAAGAAGAAGAAGAAAAAGAAGAAGACAGTGCTAGGAGCAGATGACTTTTCATCCCCACTTCACCTTGCCACTGGGTCTGTAAGAGATTGGTTCACTGTCAAGGAGATTTTTTTTTTACCCATGATTCCATATGGTATGGACTGGGCTACATGTTGCCCAACATGCCAGTGCAAATGTTTTCTCAATTAGGTGTCTTATCTCCCGTGAGTTAGCATCAGATGAAGCTTGCTGACAGCATAATGGCAGGGAAAACCTCCGACGGATCCATCAAATGGCAACTCTGCTATGACATCTCGGCCAGAACTTGGTGGATGGTGAGTTGGCAGCGCGGCTGCATTTCCCCCCCCTTCCCCTTCCTTTTTCTGTTTTCCCTCCCTCTTTGACAAAACGTCCCAGACCTCACATTTATCAAATTAACATTTGATTTTTTTTTCCACACTCTTCACTGGAACAGCCTTTCCACTTGTCCCACTTGGGTGTTTTTTCTCTGTAACAAGAGCCCGTTCATGTGCTCTACTGTTAAGACAGTGGCAGCCCCCCCTTCCTTTTCACTTTTCCCCATTAAAAGTACACTTGAAAAGCTTTCTTTTCCAAAGATAACTTTCTCTCAACTCCTGTGGGTCCTTATTGGTGTTGTATTTTGTTGTAAGGTGGCTTTGCAGATGCTTGGTCTGTGTCTCTCTGTGGACGTGTGGTTGTATGAGCAGAAGAAATTTAAAATATGTCGATGGATCTGTATGTGATAATTTGTCCAGGCAAGATCACAACAAAAAGAGAAAGGAAGTTTGAGAGATTCAGGACCTACCCATTCTAGTCAAACTCTCTGAGAGTATTTTAGTGGCGCTTCATGGATCCATGACGTGTGTGTATCTCGTCAGCGGACCTGGTCTAACTTTTCCGTTCATTTGTTTATAATAGAATAGATTTTTCTCTGGTTATGATCTGGAGGTGGGTGTTACAAATCACTCTTGAATGTCTTTCGGGTTCAATTAAAAGTTTTAATGAAGTTCCAACAGACCCTTCTCAGAATGAGTTAACTTGCATGTCATGGTCACTCAGGCCAAACAACCTTTGACATCTTGAATCTATCAGAGGTACAGTGAGTTTGGAGGATGCATAATAGCCCATTGTGACTGAAGATCCAAACCCCGTTGTGTCAGAGAGAGTCCTCAAATCATTACTGCCCTCATTAGCGTGCTGTCTGTTAGGGAACAATTTGGTAGCAAGGCTGTGTCTTTTCTTTTCCTTTTTTTTTAAAAAAGAACTTTTCTGTAATTATAGTTCTTGTGGCAAGGCATGAATTTTTAGGGGACTCTTTTTTTTCCTCCTGAAGAAGAGAAATTTCGCTGCCGGGACAATACATGCATTATCTGCTCCTAAGTGGACCGTGAACCCCTCCATTGAGTTCATATAGATATAACAGTTTGGTTTTGGGGGTTTTTTTGTTCTAAAAAAAAGGACTGGTGAGTGGAATTACAATGAAACCGGTCGTGCTATTGTTTTGCATAATATGTTGAAACAAACAAATGGGAGCAGACAGGGTTTTCACACACACATAGATAGACACACACAGAAGACGCATCTCCCAGATCAATTTTGTTGTCATTCGGAGAAGTTTAGGATGCCTGCGGACTTGGAAAGCCCAGGAAAGTGGAAAATGGAAGGATTTCATTCTGCAACTTGGCGGTATTGGTTGCTTGCATCCAAACATGTTTTGAGCTGTTAGATTTGTTTGAACTTTCATTCATTAGAAAGCTTAACCGGTGGCTGCCAGCTAAATGTTAACATGCCAATTTGGGTTAACTAGAACAGAGGGGAACTAACAGTTTACTACTGATTTCTGTTAGACTTTGTGCCAGTGGAAAATGCAGTAAGGATGGTCTTGGATGCTTTGTAACTGTCTGACTATTCGTTTGATTGATTAACTTGTTAAATACTGAGATATGACTCTTATTGATTTAGAGCTGTTTACAGAGTAAAAGCCATAAATGCCACTGTTTGATATGACATTGATTTTTAACTCTTAAAATATTCCTATTTGTATTGTCTTGTTCTCGTGATATTGTGAAGCAGTATCTTTGAAATATTGTCTACGTCTTTAAAAGTATCTCAAACTATTGCCGTTCTTTTTTCTTTTTTCTTTGAAAAAAAATCGTAGTTACTTTGCAGATGCCATACCCTTTTGAATATAATATATAGGCAACCAAAAAAAAAATCCTGGAAACATTTAGCAATGCACTTGACAAGAAAATAAACAAGCTTCAGACAGGCTGTTATTTAGATGAAACCCTCCGGGAAGTTCTTCTTAAACTTTTAACATGTCACAAAACTTATTTTTTTAAAGGAGAGATTCAAAAATCACATTGCTAAAAACCAGTGTCGTTCTCTAGAAAAATATTTTTTTTCAAAAATAAAGGGGGGGGGGAATCTCTGAAATGAACCATACAAGTTTTTATACAATGCCTATTTTCAAACAAGGATTCAATTATTGATACAAAAGTCAGCAATTTTGATGCACACACTGTAATACAAAGCATATTTTACCCCCAACCTCATCACATCTGTTACATCCTTTTAATCAAATCTCAGCTACAAATGCATTTTAACATTGAAAGAACAAAAAGAAGAAGAAAAAGAAGCTTTGAAAGTTACCTCATGCATCGTCTGGCCGCACAAAAAAATCTCGGCTACTGCCTACTGCTAAACTTCGGTTTGGTACTGCCAGCATACAAAGAGATGAGTGAATGCCCCCTTTCCATCCGCATGGACTCAGCTGCCAACTGTGTGATGTGCGATTTTGCTTTTTAATGAGTCGTAAACAATTTATGTGTGTCCATGAAGCAAGATTGTTTTATTTTCAGTGTGCAGGTTCAGAATTGGTTTGAAGTGGCTGCTGGCCCTACTGTATGGGAGTATGCTGTCCAAATTTAAAGGTTCTGTGTCATTTTGATGAAAAGACCTATTATAATGAAAGAAATGGCTGTATGAAAGGGTGGGCACTGTAATCTCTTAGGCTTGGACACATTCACGCTCTCCCCCCACCTCTCTCTGGCATGATTTCACTCCTGTCTATAGCATGTTTGTAGCTAGATAGTTGCCTGGCTAGATCTGTAGTAAAAATGAAAAGAATCTTTTACCTTTTGACTGAACAGTGTGAATGTGTGCTTTTTTAAAAAAAAGGCTTTATAATGTAGATTTCCCATTTTTACTCCCATTCTGATTTTCTTGTACACCTCTGCCAGAACAGTTTACATAAGTTGGTCTCTTCTTCACTTTTTTGGTGGCATAAAAATGTGTAAGAGCAAAGTAAAATACAAAGTGGTGGCAATTTTATTATTTCAGTGGGTCTGGCTGCTGGTATGTTCAGTCTCAACAGACACTTCATAGTACTGTAACCAAGACTCAGTACATGTGCACATTTTAACAATAATTACATTTGTTGTAATGACTTGCAAGAAATCTTTTGAAATCTAACCCTCTCTCCCTCATGCTTTAATCATGTCACTCTTGAGGCAGATATTAATTTAGGCTAACACTCATGTGACATCTTTAGTTTAAAATGTTCTAGACATATAGTAAACCTACATGAAATGAATGAGTAAGCCAAAACTTATAGTGGGAAACTGTATTGTAGCCTTTTCTGTTCTTTTTGAGGGGGAAATATATTAACATCCAGCATTATTTCACATACTGAAATAAATATTCAACAGTTACACACTCTTGTGTATGTGGCAAGCTTTTCACCTTTCTTACCATTTGTTTCCAGTTTCTTGGTTGTACATGTTCTTTGTGCTTCATGCCAGACATAGGTTCAAGTGATAAAGAAGTTACAAATCTGGAATATATTACCATTTTGACTTTAGATGCTGAGCCCACTTCAGAGGCCAGGTTGATGCAAATATGAGCTTCTAAAAAGAGGTGAATACAGTGCATCTCAGTCACAGCTGGCTATGGCTGAGAACAGAGACACTATTTTTACAGACTACCCATGGAAGTGTCATCATTTACTTCTTGATTAATAAATGAAATCTTTTTAAGAAGCTGTTCACTTGTAAGAATAAATATATTTATAGCCATTAATAAGTTGTGATAAATCCTCTGGCATACCAAACTTTTGATGTGTGTATATGTGTGTCAATTTTTACAAGAGCAACTGAAAAAGACAGAAGCCTAAACATTTTTCTGAAATACTTCTGTTTGTTAGTTATTCATACAGTGTGTGTATTTCTCTCTCTCTCTCTCTCTCTCTCTCTCACACACACACACACACACACACACACACACACACACCTGCCTTACCTGCTATTCAGTAATAGCCATTCATCTGCCAGAAGGATTACACCAAAGTAAACATCCATTATACCTAACGATTATGCATAATGTTTCATAATCCATAGTTCAGTATGGCACTCTTTTTTTTTTGTAACTACCGAATACCCTTTTAAACCCTGGCATCCTTCTCATACACATGTTATGGAGTTAAGCATTTTCAGTTCATTCAGCCTGTAACTCCCACATTTTGTTTCTGTTTTAAATCATATTCATTTATTGATGTCAGTAAAAGAGATGACATTGTCCAGGCAACCACTGAAACACCTAAATCTCACAAGAAAGATAAAAACTGGCTACCTTTGCTTTTAAAAATGCACAAAACCTCAAAATAAAGTATTACTGTATTAGAAAGCACCATATCCAAACAACGTGTTTTCTAAGTTTCATGATATGAGCCATAGAGATTCAGTCAAATATCGTAACTTCCTGGTTGATATCTAGCTATCCAAAAACACAGGCAAGGTGTGCTTCTGTACTTAACTTTGTCTTTCTAAAAGGTGTACGCTGTGTATCATGAGATTTTTTTGGGGGAAAAAATCTCTTGATACCTTGACCTCACTTTAGGAAAGATAATAAGATATAACGTTATATTGAAGAACTTGTATTGCCCAAACATGGTGAAATAATTTATTTTGTATTTCTGGAACTATGTGGCATTTGTGTATGACACAGAATATGCATCCAGTACACAGCTAATTTCAGCGTTACTGACACTTTAGTCCTGTGCCCATTGAACTGAATGGGCCTCACTTCTGCATACACATGCACAGGATTGCATTGTAAACAGTTGGTCTTTCATGCTACTGTCTGCAGTTAATTTTTCAGCTACATGCTCTTTCTCCATTTCATTTTTAGTCTCTTCCTTCACCTGTCCTGAATATTGTTAGGAATGTTTCTAATTTGAGGACGAAAGAGCCAGTGGCTGATTAGAAGACAGGAAATTGGAGGATTAAACTGTCTGGTTGAACTTCCTTTACTTATCAGCACTCAGTAACATATACTAGATTATAAACTCAGCAAGAGTTACAATGTTATTTTCCCTGTTGTGCTTAATTTTACTTTCTTTAGAAAATGTGGACATGAGGCAGTTGGTGACTCAGAGCCAAGAGTGGTTATTTGCAGCATTTGGCAAAAGAGCTTTGAATCGTTATGGCCATTACGAAGATCTCTTCATCTTTGCATTTCAGGATTTGTCTGAATGAGAGTGTACATGTGTATGGGTGATGTATACGAACATATAAACAATTGGCATTGGACCAAGTAGAAGATAATCCAATACATTCTAAGGGAAATTACATTATTTGGTAAGAGGAAAGTGCCTAATGATAATCCTTATTAAAGCTAGTTTTTCTCTTAGAAACATTTTGTAATGTAACAGTAGAAACATGTGATATGCCATGAGGAGGAATAACAGCGGTACCAGTGTACCTCACCAAAACATCACAGACTTATGTTTCATGTGCCGGTTTGGTAGGAAAAAAAGTTTGCTTTTTCCCAATTGCCCAACTTGGGGTGAGTGGGAGCGATGAACAGTTGGTAAGCATTTCTTCTTCTGCACTGATAAAGCACAAATCAAGATTTTACTGGCTGTTGAAAGAAGGGAGGCAGGCAGGCAAGCAGGTAGGTGGGCCTTGGTCCTGTCAAATCACTGCAGTATAGGGACAAGAATTCCAAATTTATGAGCCCACTATGGTTTGTAAGTCATTTTAGACTGGATCAAAACCAGGAAGAAAGTAACACAATGTGTTCTCAGATGCATTAAAACCCTTCCATGTTAAAATTTTAGTTATATGTGCTTAAAATTAGTTGGGGTTTTAATTGATATATTAGTGGAATTGTTAAAAATAAGTGTATGGCATTATTTCTACAGTGGGTCTACCTTTTGGGTTTCCAAAAATATTTTAATTCTCCTCTGACCTCCAGAGAATAGATGGAAAACAAATGCAAAGCAAATCATGATAACAAAGAACTTGGACTTGATGCTGCCATTGTACAGTAATAATTTCTGGCTAGATACTGACTAGCCAGAAATTATTACTGACTGGTTACTAGAGAAAACCAAAGGTCCTGTTTTCCTGACAGCATTTAGTTTTGATAGTTTTGAACGGGCATTATAATAATCAATGGCTTTCAGATGAAACAAATTGACCAGGAGATCCATCCAACATGTCCCTGAACTTGTAGAGACTCAAGATGGACAGGTGAGAACTATGAAAAGGAGAGACAGTTGTTGGGGCCATTAAAAAACTGTACTGGTATAATATGTTTATAGGCCAGCACATAGACAAAATGTATGCATGTTGAGATCTCCATATCTCTGCATGAGATAAAGTGTTGTAAAAAGCAATTGGGGAAAGTGTGAATTCTTGTCTTGCTCAGTAAGTACACCATATTGTGTATATGGTGTCCTTAAAAGCACTGAAACAAGAAAGGTTTGCAGACATTTGGATAAGGTGACTTGATGGTTTTAGGTTCCATGCAAAATAACCCCTTGGCACGCTGAGAGGAATGAAGGAAGGCACAGAAAGTTGAATTCTCCTACCCGTGCTCAAAAAATAAAATAAAACCGAGCCATAAACTGAGAACTGACTTCATCTTGGGAGCAGCCAGTAGAGTCCTTTATTAGTGTAAAAGAAAGAGAAAGTTGGCAGCTTTTGAATTGATTGAGATGGAGACAATTTTAAATTATGAATTGAGGTGTTGTTTTTAAGGCCGTAGAAGCCAAACTGGATACTTTGCCTTGGTGGTTGGAGGTGATAGCTCCCTCTTTGCTCTCTTCCCCAAGAATAAAATCCCAGTGTAAGGTGGTATAAAGTCATCGGATTATTCCAGTAAATCCTTCCATCCTTGTATATTTATTACTAGCAACATGTGTCGCAGTTTGAGATCAGATGCTATGTTGTCATGACTATTGAAGAGTTGCATTCAAGCTGTTAGCAGAGTGTGTATAAGTGACTATAGTTCCCAAGACCTCACAGCCAGTATGGCAGATATAAGGTGTTGTTCTTCTTTTTAAAAAAACAACACATGCCACTTTCCTAAGCTCTGGCTGTTCATAATATTGACTGAAAGACAGCTCGATAAGTCCACACTTAAGCATGGCATCATTACCATTTCAGGGGTAACTCCCTGACACCGGCTATAATTTAGGACTCAATGTATGTATCTCTTATTACCAGCTATTGCAAATGAACTGCCCAAGGCCATGAGATCTATTCCTCAGCAGCAGCAGCACTGAACAGAGTTCTACTTTGTTGATCAGATGAGATTGTAAGAACCATTTGGTACAGAGTGAAATTATTCATGATTTTGTCTGTGTTGGGTCGAGTTGTGTTCCTGTTTTCTGGAAACAAAAAGGGAAATGTTTTAAAGGGCAGTTGATAAACTGCATTGAAAAAGAAGATATGTGCATTGTTTCGTACATGTGTTGTATGCAAAGTTTGAAGCATTGGTTTTTGGATTACAGTGTCTAGGCTCACGAGGGGATGTTCTGGGAGTTGTAGTCCAAAAAAGTAACTTTTCTAAGCTCTGGCTGTATACATAGAATGACAAGTTTGAAACCAATGGCATTTCACTGTTTCAAACAGACACGGTAAAGAAAGGAGGTCAGTTGATAACAGGACGATGTTTATACT